GCGCTCGGCCAATAGTAGTCAATTAAAAATTAATTGACATGGTATAATGCATGTGAAACATGTTTATACTAACACCGTCTCTTGTTACATCTCCCTTTATACCATGTTTTAAGCAAATAAACGTATGATAATAATATTATTATTGATAATATTAAGCTTACACTATTTGGAAACTGCTTAAAAATTTCTCTGTGACAATATGAATCGTGAGGTTGAAAATGTATAGGAGATCTCCAGATTTATGTTTCAAATTATTTTTTTTATATACTTTCAAATTACATTTTTTCTGTGCAAATTCACTTTTCGTAATATTTGAGAATTTGTAAACGCAAAACAATAAATTCAAAATTTCATGTGACATTCCCGGATATTCCCATTTAACTTAAAATATTCCCAAATGGAATATTGATCTACTTTAATTAAATGTTTGCATGTCGATAATGATTTATCGATAGATTACGACACTAAAGAAATCCGCCATTGGTTCGTTCAATTTTTGTTTAGGTATGCACGTTCATTCCGGAAGTAGGGCAGCTCCTTTGTTTTATTTTTTTTTCCATCCTGTATAGTATGTACCAAAATGCTAAATCTATGGTTACGAGACGTGAAAGGAGTAGGTACGTGAAAAAAACACGCAATTTTGGACCAAAATCCTGATGTGGTCGCCGTCTGATGAAGAACGTAATTAACACAATTAGTTCCTTTGACGATGTTTATTGGAATTCCTCGTTGGAATCATTACATATGATATAACATATACGGCATCATAAAGATTGCTTTATATAGACTTTGGTATTGACCAAAGTCTATATAAAGAGTAAATTAATGTAAACGTGTAAATTAAATCGAGATATTACACTACAAAACATTTGTTACAAATACAAATAATAGTAGGCAGACTCTCCCACAGCCGCGGAATCCTTACTTAAAGATAGCATTGGAGTTAATCTTACTAATTTAAAGTTTCGTCGTGTACTTCCGAAAGACGTTCTTAAAGCCTGTAAATAAAATAGAAATAATAAACTGCTAATTTTTCCATCAAAGTCATTAATTCTATAGTTGATTCTATTGCGCCATAATTAGCGTGTGTTTTTAACAAATGCATTGATGACGGGGGCTTACTGACAGCATAAAGCAAAGTTACACCTCTTTTTAAATCTGATAGTACTCGTATTTCAGAATTCACCAATTTCAGACTTATTTCATATGACTCTCAGAAATATATTTGGGACAATATTCTTAATTGACTGCGGTAGGTGCTTACATTTTTACAGTAATATACATATGTATATCAAACAACGTTTAATCATTGTAACAATTTGAAACGTAATTTGCTTGCCTATATAATAAAGACAATTTTGATTTTGATGGAGCAATACAATCAACTTACTATATTTAGTGGCAGACGAAATTATCGACTTGTTACTCCAAATCGGATTTGACTAACATTTCGATGGCTTTCTAGAATGGTGTCCTATCCAAAATTAATTAATCTATCAGGTATATGGTTTAGAAACATCTGAAGCATATCTAACGTGCAAAACCGACGAATCATAACACCGGTCCATCTTATTACTTGTCCATTTTAGGCAACAAAAAGATCGGTGTTTTTTTGCAAAGTAATTTTGAATGCAGCTTTGCTATAAAGACAAATATGAACAATTTTGGTTTGTGCCGCTATTATTGAAAGGCAGCGATATTAGCAATTTCTGAATAATATCTATTTTGAATTTAAATAAAGAATATACGACAGTAACCAACGAAGTAGTTTTAACTGGTGTTTACCATCAAATCAAATCAAAAATTTATTCGAATGAGTGTTATAAAATCTTTTAACCTTTTTTTGTACAGATGTTATCATAAATTAAATTATGTACTAAGTATTTAGAACTTTCGTGAACCAACTTCCAGTGTTTCCACAACAAGGCTGCTGAAGGACGTATCAGGTAGGCAGTTCTCTTGCGTATTGTCGCACTATAGCATAAGTATCTAAAACACTCAATTTTCCCGTGTTACGCCATTTTTCTTCTCACGTTAACAGCCTACTAATTTTACACGCCTGACTTTGAGCACATGTTCCCACTGGAAATTCTTTTGAACTCTTTCGTCCACTTGTCTCTGTTATAATTCAATTAAATATTCCAATATTCATACATTTTGGTGTAAGAGATAGTTCTACTATTTCCGTTGATAAGCAATTGTTCTTCTATAAGTTATTCTATAAAATATTACTCCTTCGGGTATTCGATCTTTGGCAAAAAGAGTATTTTCGCTCTTGGCTGATTAGTTTTTCAGCCTCTTAATTTTGAATTTAGATGCTAGTTCAGGCCTTTCGAATTTGGACACAGATTTGACCAGCTGCACCTGCTCATGCAATCATTAAAGGCGAGTTGCACCTTTTCCGGAGCGGCTCGACTCTGTCCACCTGCACCTCCATCCTCGGGCGTTAGTTCGAGGGCAGAGGTTTCTGACTGTGCGTTACCTCTCCTTTTCCATCCTCATTATCACTTAATATCTCCATCTTTTACTTACACTTTCTCAAAATTTTGCTTTTCCCCTTTTTTATACAAAATTGTATGTTAACCTATTAGTTCTTTACCATTTTAACGCTCGACTTAAAAGAGGGGAGTTCTCGTTTTTAAAGCCTGTGTATCATAGCCCTTAAACGAATGAACTGATCTCAGACCGGTTTTTTTTAAGGTTCATTTGATCGGAATGATTTTTAGTTACGTTTGATGATCATCCAATAAGTTGTTTCAAGATCATCGGCTCTTCTTCCTGTTTGTGTAGGAATAATTTATCTAATGTTGCTACCATAACAATCTGCGGACTCCTCAACTCCTCAACTACTTACAGAAGAACTGTCGTGTCAGGGCTCTTGTCGAGTAGTTGGCTTACAGGTGGTGATTAAGTCTGATGATAGCGCAGGAAGGAAGGCACAGGAGCACAGCTTTGTTAAACGTGGACCCATCGAGTTAAATTGATTTCGACTAAAAGTTGGTTGACGGTCACATGATGGGAAGTTTATCAAAGGTAAAGTCAATTTGTATTCACTGAATGTCATTCGAATCGAGTGGTCACCCGAGTCACAGCCGACACCACCTATTTTACTATTTTTTTCGACATTTTTCAATATTTTTTAAATAATTTCTTATTATCAATTTAAGTTGGTAATTAAAGTTTTGTCCACATTATACTTGTGACATATATACTTATGTGGGATTGTATTCTAAATGAAAAATTTAAATTCAATTATTAATATTATGATTATTTATTACGAAAATAAATTAAAGCATTATCAGATACCGCTGATTAAAATACTAAAGATCCAGTTATTCCTTGCAATCCTGCTAAAGCCTAAATTTGTCGTAACGACTCTTAAATGGCATTTTTGATAGAGTAATTTGCTAATTTGCAAAGTTTTGCAAACTTATCACGTGAATTGAGGCCATATAAAACCTTCGCCTTTCCGATACTACTTTTTCTCAAATATACGAAAGCCTTTCCTACTGTGGTGACTTTTTAACCGACTTAAAAAAAGGAGGAGGTTCTCAATTCGACTGTACGTTCTTTTTTTTGTATGTATGTTACGCGATAACTCCGGTATTTGTGAACCGATTTTCATGATTCTTTTTTTGTTGGAAAGGGGGTACTTCCATAGTGGTCCCATTTCATTTTGAAGAAAATCATCCACCTCGAAGGGTGGCTGTTCACGCATGAAGATTCATTTTTATAAATTCCGCCTAACTTTAATTTAGGAGCAATTACTTTAATGGTTGATTTTGCTATTACTCCAATTCAAGGCGTTTTTCTCTCAATATACTTTGAGTAGAATTCCACGTACTTTTGAGGTCGGTTTTTTTAGTACTCTGTACTGAGATTATTACTTATGCGCAGTAAAAGAACTTAAAATTATAGGGAACATTATTCTTTCTTTGGTTATATCTAAATTTTGTGCAGGAAATAAAGAAATATTATTATTATTATTATTTGATATCTAAATCTAAATCTTTAAAACTTAGTGGATATATTGGAATCCATGACTGCTAAGCTTGAAATAAAACATGAATTTAAAAATTAAAAAGCCTCCCACACAAAACAGCGAACTCTAAAAAGTCAGTAATAATAATTGTAATGAGGTGCTTATTAATTTTCAAGCATTTTTGATCCTTTAAAGAGTCAGGGGACCGCTAAACAAAGTAGAGCGTTAAAACTAGCGAACTTGAAGCATACTAGATAGCTACTTACGTAGGTAACAAAACAATAATGTCAATTCGTTAAATAGGTGTCAACCCAAATACCTAATACCCAACACATGCTGAACTTAAGAACTAAATGCCAGGGAAATATTTCACTGTCAAGGATAAATTCAGAAAAAACTTGGATAAGGAGGGAAGCATTTGCAACTTCGGTTTTTAAAACGAACAAAATACTACGTTTAATCATATAGACGAGTGCGAAAGATAAAAATCAGCATTGTATAGTCAAAGACGCTATGGTACGGACCATACACCCTAAGGGGCAAGCTGATGAGATAGCTTACTTTACGAAGTTCTAGATCCCGGTGGTGACACAAAATAGAGGAGAAGTCGTTAAAAACTAACAATTTACACCTTCTTCCCGGTCAGCAATGAATCATTTCATAACCCACTGATATCATATCGTACTCACGTTTATTCACTAACCCAATTTCAATAAAGGATCAATCAAGGAACGAGCAGATTAAAGCGATCGTGACTAGATTAGTTTGATTGATTTCACATAAGCCTCCTCTAGGAAGACCTTCCTTTAGGAATTACCATTATTCGAGCACAGTAACTATTGCAGTTTCATTGCATCAACGCATGCAATAGTCAACAGAGAATTGAGTGTCGATTGATCCCAGGGATTTAATTGAAATTTTCTCATCGCCAATAACATACTAAACAAATTCTAAAGAAAAGTACAGATTTATTTACACTAAAAATACTATGTGGATTTCACAGTTTGTTGTTGCACAGGATGCGCTGCGCGGGCGACGCTGCGCTTCGCTACGCGCAAACAGCGGCGGCGCAGGCGCAGTGCGGTCCGCCGACGAGTCGGGCCGCAGCACTCCCGCAGCCGCCCGTGCCTCGCCCTCCCCTGGCGACACGCCCGCGCTCAAGAAATCCAACTGGGAGGTGATTGAGCACTTCTCCTCCAGCCGCTCCAAGAAGAGCCCTTCTGCGGTACGTATAGAAATAACCTAATAAAAAATATCGCAATAATTAAAATGTAATGACTTTTTGAAATCTATTTGATGGAAAGCGAAAATGTCGACAAGGATGATAAATGTTTGCCTCGAAGTTTTTATTTAGCTTATATATTCGGGTCATAAGAATATCCAAGTTGTATTGATCAGAAAACACAGAACACAGCAAAGAGGTTCACTTCATAGCTGTATGCATAATGTAACGACGTAGAAGGAAAACGTTTTGTACTAATTGATAGAACATTTAATGATAGAATCCTTATAAATACACAATAAACTTTCCGAGTCCGAGGTAGGTGTCAAATAAAAAAACATCATAGTATTAGCAAGTATCCCGCCTGTTCACTTGCATTATTATTTTAGTTGCACCTACATGTTGTAAACCTTAGAATAATAACGCATAGAATGACAGTTTCATATCAAACGAACTGTCACAAGTGAGGCAAAAATCAAATTCATGTAGGCTAGTTTTAGTAGTAGGTTAATTTTCGGTTTTAGTGAATATTTATATAAAAATACAAGTTGAAACGCGTTACTTCCTTGTGGAATGTGATGTTAGTATCTATTTTATGTTTGTCTGACGTATTTTTACACTCATTTACCGCACATTTCGTCATTTTAGCTAAAATTCTTGAGCTGTTCGCGGTGCAAGTTGACTTGAGCACTGAAGGCCCGCCCGCTCGTGTAGGCCCATTGAGCGCGCTTCAATTTACCTCACTTAGCGTGTGCGGACTAGGTTTCTATGCGTTATTATTCTAAGTTGTAAACATAATTTAAAAAAATTAAGGTATTCATCACATTATTATCGTGCTAAAATAACCGTTGTTGAATGCAATAGGTACTTATGTATTGTTACTTTTGTTACCAGCAATCCGGATTGGTATCTTGATGTATGATTATGAAACTATCACAAACATATTTTGAACTTATTTTTAATAATTGATTCTATAATTAATGCCGCTATGCAACGCGAGTGCATCGCGATGTTATTCGAACATGTGCTTCGGTACACGGCGCACGGCGGTCGTGCACATACACAACTCACGCTGCTGTACTGCTATGTTTGTACAGCGTTATCATACTTGTCTTATTATTATACTATGCTATTATATGTATACAGATTTTAACAAAAGGTTGATATTTTAATTAATAACGGACAAAGAATATTCGGCTTAAAATATTTACGTAATTTTATTTTATTAATTTATTTTAATTTTATAAGTTGCATTTAATTTTATTAATTTTATTTTACTTTATTATTTCAATGTATATAAACTATTTAATTATTTTTAGATTTTAATTTAGGTTCAGTGACCAGCAAACCCATAATCAAACTGGGTGGAATGTCGATTCCCCACCGAAGCGCGGAAGTCTTTCTTAATTTATTTTTTCCGGTTCTGCACATTTGCACGAGCAAATATTATTATTTATTCACAGCTCTGCACATTTACGCAATACATATTAACAGATCATTCCATTAATACATAATAAAGGACTCGACATTGGAATCGTCACAAATGCGTCATTATATCTATACACGCAGTAATTGGCATAAATTCATCAAAATAGGGCTGTTTCTGCACGTTTGTTTCGCGTTTTAGGCTCGTTTTTAACTGAAATACAAAAACGCTCACTGTAACTGGCATACAACATTCTGTCTCGTATAGTTAGACAACATTTAATATGATAAAATTCGATTCGTTTCAAACCAGTCAGAAGTTAAAAAGCTACCGGCAAATGCACACATCTAACAACTACGTCAAACTTACAACACTATTATAAGCCTATTTGGTGAGGAATAATAAGAATTTAAAGAAATATGTATATCGGTATATGTATACGTCATCGGCACATATTTCTAAATTAATTGTTTAAGCTCTTTTGTACCTCATGTACCTATATACCTATGTACCACCTGTACTTGAACTGAAAGGCAGGCTGAAATATATATGAACTGAGGCTCAATTTGCGACTCAATGAGAGTGGTGGCCAAGGGCGGGCGCGGGGTGGAATCGGGCGGCGGTTGCGCGCCATCAAACCCAGTATTTTCTTAGGTTAGCCATTGTGTGAACACAAAGCCGGGCAACGGCAACAACTACTGAAACATAACAACTTCCGCGGTCGCAAACATGCCCCTGTTTGTTACCGCGCTGTATTGTTCGCGCACTGTTTTGATAAAAAGCAGTAAAATACAAAAGAAAGTTGTGCAATGACTACCGCAACTGTTTTGAAAAACGGCTTTGGAAATAAAATCCCGACGCGGAGTCTACAGACGGGTGCATTATTTACGTGTCCAGTGCGTGACACCAAGACAACCATTTCATTATCGGATATTATTATTTAAGTGCATGTGCATATTGTCTGTCTATCTTTGTCTCTCTGTAGCATTGTAACTCCCAAACACATTCAATGCAAAGCGGTTCTTTTATTTAAAGGATACTTTAATAAGGGATAATCAAATATAGTTTAGAACCATGATTGATGATCACTGCTAAGCTGTTTAAAGATATTTTTAAGAGCTTTTTACAGATAGTGATTTCAGTCATAAAATAATGGTTATTTGTTATGCAAGGCTGCAAAGTTGTTGTTTGACGCGAGTGCTTGTATTGAGACACGAGCTAGCGACAGACGCTAAGATTAAAAATAGAATGTTGAGCGAAGTGTGGATTTCAAGGCACGAGAAGCAAAACACTTCGCTGCCGAGCGAAATACGTAACTTTTCACATCACCTATAGCGAGGTAAATGGTAGATGAAAGAAAAAACATTGAAGTATAAAACATCAATTTTTATAATCAAAAGAAAAAGTTTACCTTCAGACGAATTTGCACCTCATAATTGTTTTATTTTTGCTTGTGCTTATAATTTTATACGATTATTGAAATTATTTTAGTTCTTCGACGAACTAAAATAATTTAATAAACAAAATTAGTTATCGTTTTCAGTTTAATATCAACAATAATAAGAATGAAATATATCAACGGATTTATGTTACATAAATATTACGGGTGCGTAATGACGTGTACGTATGTACGACAAATGGCGTAGTTGAACAAGTCATTATGTTTTTTTTTCATCGAAAGAAAAAGTTAGGTGCACCACAGTCCATCATCAAGTTCGAATTTCAAAAAACGCTTTTTGCGAGCAGATTTCTAATGAGGAAGAACGCCATTCCGAGCTAGTGAGGTGAAAATGTTTTATTTTTACTTCCACTTGGCCAATCGACTTATGATTTGATTTATTATATAAATCCCATTTTTCGATTCGATCTTGATGCTCCTACTAGAACAGTCCACAGACAACCTAATTCCTCGACTACTTACAACAGAACTATCGTGTTTAGGCTCAATTATTATAATAAATAAATCTTGAAGAGTAGTGACTGATGGTAACTAGAATCCGATGATGGAGCAGGATGGTAGACGCGGGTACTCAACTTTATTAAATGTAGAGCCACGAGATTAGACTTGTTAGATTAGTCCCGGCGAGTAGTTGGTTGACTGATGGTGACCTGGAGGTCGATTCAGAACTTAAGGTACTTAACGATTTCTTTTCATTTTTATTCACAGCTTCTCAACCGGCAAAGGCTACAAATGTTATTCAGAACACAGTTATCGAATAAAAGCTGCGCAATGTCCTATTGTTTACAAAGTAATATGAAAATCTCTTATTATTTTAAATAAAGTCTGCTTTTGTTCAATTTAATTAATTTATTTTAATGCAATACTAAAGCATTCCTATATTTTAGGCCCTTAAAGTCTTAAATATGTATATTACTTCGTAAACGCTGTTGAATAACGATATCGTACCAAAATCCGAATCGAACGCTTAACTCCAAAGTCCTGAATACCACGGAAAGAGCCCTTCGATTCGAGAACAATGTCCAATAGAACGATTCGGTTAAAATATCAAAGAGTTCCGAATTCCTGGACCCACAACATAACATTCGCGTTAAACGTTCGATTCGGATTAGGATACGATATCGTTATCCACCAACGTTTACGGAGTTAATAGGTGAAATAGATTATAAGAAATATGAAAAACCTTCTATTTTTTTTTTTTTTTTTTTTTTTTTTCCTTACAGGCAAAATACCCCCCCCCCCCTTATTTTAAATGGAAAAGGGGATCCAAACAAGAAGGAACCTATTGGAGGGGTGGGGTCCTTCCTGCCCCAGC